GTAACAAGTTTACCTTCCCCAAATACGTTTTCTGGTAAGACACATTCTATAGAAACACTTCCATTATTCTACTTTCTGACTGAGCTTCAGCCCAAATCTAATTCGTAGAGACTTGGAGAACAACCAAAAATACACTTTTTTAGAAATTTCAAACAAAATGCTAAGACCTAATCGGATTCACATCACACAGAAAAATCTAAAAAAATTTGGGAATCTCAGAAATAAGGGTATGAGAAATCTGCAATCAAACTTGAATCAGAACTTATACACCAGAATTCGCTTGTGAATCTCAGAAATAAGGGTTTGAGAAATCTACAATCGAACTTCAAGAAAATGCAATTTCGCTTGTGATTTCTCAACTAACTTCAGAATTCACGGCGAGGAAACCCTTACCAGCGTCGGAATCGTGATTGTTATCAGAAAATTCCTTCGATTCACATGACAAAACTCCATCCTCGCAAATTTGTAGATGTTGTTCTGGCAGAAAACGCATATGATCAGCGAAACGTTTATTTCTCATCAAGAAAACGAATCAAAAAACACAGATCGATCAAGCAATCATGAATCTTTATGCATAATTAAAACTGTACCTCCTTCCATGGCTCCGGATTTGCAAACGAACCCAAAAGATCTAGGATAATCCAAAATTCGGAAGCAAGAGCGAGAGAGAGAGAAGTGTAGGTGAAAATGGGGGAATTTGAATTCAGATGTATAAGAGCCGTCGGATTGAAGAAGCTTTGTAACGTCTATATATCAAGAGGAGCGTTAGAAAATCGGATCCGGATACGGGTCTACGGCTTTCCGAAACGGATCCTAATCTTTTAAAAAGAACCTACTCACAAATTAAGAAAAACCCCAAAACTTTCTGTTACTTTATAAATGTACCCTGAAAAATGCTAATTTGAATTAGACACCCCTGCGTGCAACTGTTAGAGTATAATCTACTTCAATTTCGATATCAGGATTTGCCAAAGGCTGAGTCATGGCTTATTCTTCAGTAACGAGCTGTTTCCATGGCTATCTCCACAGTTGTTCGTTCTCCTCCACCCAATTTTGCCCCCTTTCTCGTTCTCTCTCTTTCGGCCTTTCTGCTTCGAGACTAAGAACATGTGTCAAATTCGAGAAATTTCAGGGCGAGCCTCCTCTTGAACAGACCACATCCTCTGTTTCACAGGAACTACCATTAGAAGCGCAAGACCAACCAGAAGAAGAAGGCGATAGGTTCAGTCGTTTTTTCCGACTTATCTGCTTTGTTCGATAACGCTTTATGTTCTGTGAATTGGGTCGTCTTCTGTTTTTTGTGATCGTAGTGTAAGTTATATCGTTGAATTCGATTCAAAGTTTATCACTTTCATCAACATTTGTGTGTGTCTATAGGAAATGATAAGTGAACATATGGCTAAAAATGATGTCTTTTTGCCAATCTTTGATAGCTTCAGAGAGAATGTTAGTCACAGATATTGTTGCAATTTTTTCAGCTGTTTGCCTTCTGATTTGGTGGGAGCTGTTAGGCAATCAGGTGAAGCAAGTGCCTCGTTTGTGAACTCCGGAGGAACAAGAGCTATCGTAAGGGCTAGTGAATAAATCTATAACTCTTTGTTAGAGGAAAAAGGCAAAGAGATTTTGTATCAGCATCATTCACTAGCTCACTTTTCTCCCATATTCTGACTCTGAAATCTCGCAGGTTGAGCTCTTAATTCCTCAACTTCAGTTCTTAGACGATGAAGGCGCACAAGCTGAACTTTGGGATCTTTCGCGGGTTTTCATAGAGACTCTCATTGAAGAAACAGGTTGTGAGGTGAGTTAACTGTTTGTGAAACCTCTTGATATGATCGGGTCAGTTTGATGGATGTTTTTAACTCCTTGTATTCTCGAAATGTTGTTGTTAGAGAGTTAAAGCCGTGTTTCCAGATGCTGGAGCTGCTGCGTTGCTAAAATATCAGTGGAAGGATGCAGCTTTTGGATTTGCTAGGTAAGTTTGCTTCATCTTGAGAGATTTATAGCTTTTAATTCAATAATGTCTGTGAAAGGGAATATGCAGTCACATTCCATCTTGTGATGCAGCTTAAGTGACCGGAGACCAGTGGAGAAAGAAGATGAGATCATTGTCATGGTTGTTCCTGATTACCAAATGCTGGAGTATGTTGAGAAAATTGCAAAAGGGCTTGCTGATGACCCGGTAACTAAATCTGTCAATCTTAATTTTGACTATACCAAAACCTTTTGTTCTAACATCAAGAAGACGTTTCTTTGTGTTCTTTCAAGCCAAGGCCTCTCATTATGTGGAACCCTCGTCTTATAAGCGAGGATGTCGGGGTTGGGTTTAACGTGAGAAAACTAAGGCGGTACTTCCTAAGGTAAAAAAAAAAAAATCCTCGATGAGACTTGACAAGGTTATTGACTTAAACATCAGTAACTGTTTTTTTTCTTCTTTTTTGGCTGTTGTAGTACTTTTACTACTGTTTACTCCATGAGACCTCTGGCTGCTGGTGCTGTTTTCAGGTGTTATCCTGGGTAAGACTAAGACTTCATTTTTCTTATTTGATTTAAGTGTTATGTATAAGCGGTTTAACAATCAGAAGCTGATCATTTTTTTATCCTGATTTAATTTCTAGTCAATGGAAAGTTTTCTATGATGATAAAGACAGACCAGGCCGGTACTTACTCGCCAAAGAACTCATTGGTCGACCTGATGCTGAGGATCTTGAGGTTGATTGCTCAATACTGGATTAAATTCTTATCTTTATCGGGTTGAACATTTCTTACCTGCACTGAGAAGATTTGGGTGCAAATCCTAGTTACATAGCTTATTTTGCTGTAATTTCATTTATGAATTGTTTTATTTTCGCAGATAATATATGGGAATGTAGAAGAGAAGTCAGATGAACGACCATCTTTATTCAGTCAAGCTGCTGGAATTATCTCATCCATTAACAGGTTCATGAAAGCTATGTAAAGATGATTTCTTCTCCACAGTGTATTACTGTTCGATTAATACTGGTATTAGAATTCTGTATATCTTTGTATGCTATCACATCATAATGAATAGAATATCGTACTCGTAAAGAGTTCTGTTCTGTGCTTCTGTGCACCTGTCTGGCCCAGAGATTTAATCCTAGTCTACCCAAATCTTACCTACAAGTGCATTACCATCATGAAAGAGAGCGGATACAATGTTTTCTCTTCTGTTAAATAGCTATAATTGCAACCTCATGGAGATCTTTCTGTTTGCCTGGTGTTGGATAATTTGGTTCACCTTCTGTCTTGCAGCCGAACATAGCTGGGAACTTTAACTGCATAACCAGTCTGCATATTTGCTTGAAGTTTTACATTGTTGCTTCTTTTGATTCTGACAGACTGTGCTGAAACTGAGCTTTGATGATAGGAGCATATAGCAACTCTATATAATCCAAACAAGTGTAAGGTTTGTCCAAGACACCAGAGCTGAGATTTCTCAGGAGACAGGAGAAGAGATCCTTGTCTAGTATGCATCTCCTGTGCACTTGAAAATTGCATGTGCTGCCCACTTATGAGAATACGTGAATAGCTGTTTGAATACATGAGAAATGGCATTCTGCAGTAAGTTAAAGAAGCCATCAGAGAGATAGATGAGCAAGAAGAAGCCCCATATCAGGTTTGTAACCTTTATCTACTACCATGGCATAAAACAATCCAAACAGAAAATCGAAAATAGCCTCTGCTTGTGGATGCAGTCTGTCATTCACGACCAAGCTTTGTGTGTTTCTTGTAGATTTCAATCCAATTTGTGGCTGTTTCTTTTGCTACCCCCATTTCTTTCATACTCCTAATTCTCCTCGGCCCTCTCCTTCAGAGTATAAGTGGCTGAGCTATCTGGTGCTAAGTGACTCAGCTTTTCAGCTGCAAATTTCCCCATCTCAGTGTCACCATGAAAGTTACAAGCACCAACCAGTGCATGCCAAACAAAGCAGTCGAGTTTAATGGGCAATGAGTCGTAGTGCTCTGTTCCATGGACTTTTTTGCATCGCGCAAGCCTACATGGCGACAAACACGGAGTGATGACAGAAAGGAAACATCACTTGGGTTAGTATTTTGCATTATCATTTCTTCATATAATTCCATTGTAGCTGCCCTGTGTCCATGGTGCGCAAATGCTGCAGTGCAGTCACAAAGTTCGAAAAAAAGACTTGTGTCCACATTTTTACATGTGAGTGAGTCCATTATCATCAGCGAATAAAATACTGGAGAAGCTTCCTTTTGTAAATTCAGCATGGAGTTACTTGTCTAGACCTAAAGAAGTATCAACAAACGAAAGTCCAAGAACAGCTGAAGCTACATGTGCATCAATATCTACACCTTCTACCATTCTAATGAATAGTACAGGTCCTTCTTCAGATCCATTTTGAGCTAAAACAGTCAATATCACAGTCATGGAAACTGCATTCACCTCTTCCGCGGAATCTAAGAAGGCTCACATCGACTTGGTTGAGAAGAAATACCCAGACTTTGTTTGGTACCAAGTCATCTGGAGCGCCATTTTTCGCCCAAAATCATTAATGGTTTGACTGTTGTTTCCGGTTTAACCGAAACCGGGTACCAAAAACATTCGGAATAACCCAGTTTCTGGAAAATTTCATCTAATTACACAAACTTATAACGTTACATTTAATAGTTTGACGTAAATTCAAAATTTTGGATGGATGGATGGGGAACCGTATTTTCGATACTACAACTTGGTATAAACGTAAACCGTGGGAAAAAGGCCAATTTCCCCGTGAACTTACGAGTCCCCGCTTATTTATACGTGATCTATTAAGCTCGGCGAAAACCCCCATAAACTTGATATAAATTTGAATTTCCCCCATAACTTATTACAATTTGGTGAATTTACACAGAACCGGAGACGGAATCCGTTTTCCGTTAACAGATTGTGACGTGGATTACAGGTGGCTAACGGGGTTCGGTTCGGTTTAAATTTGACCCAAAATCAATTTTTTTTGTCTTGACCAAAAAAAAACGACGCCATTTTTCACATTTGGGGGAAACAAAAAAAAATCAGGGTTTCTATCCTTCTTCGTCGAGAGAGATAGAGGAGGCGAGGGTGGTCGCGTGAAGGAGAGAGATAGGCCGTACAAAACCACTTACCGTAATAGCTCAAGGCAGTAGTTTCTGAGCTTTGTAAATTGTGAGTCATGCTCCTCTTGGATGATTTCAAGCGCTCTAGTTTTTCCATTTATGCACTGATCTATGGAAACAATCAAGTTCCAACGCCTATGTATTTCTTCTAGAATATCTTTTGGCA